GATAAATTATCTCTAGATATTATTGTGAAAAATCTTGAACTAATCATTCCATTACCTTCAAATATTTTAAAACGCTGGCTTATTTCTATAGCTATAACAAACCGAGAGTGATTCTTGTAGTCTGAAAATCATATATATTAGTATCTTTCTCAAGCTATCATATCGTTTTTTTCGATGATCGATATTTTTGAATTTGAATAAATGAAAGCAACATTCAATTTAGTATAAACAATACAAGAAAAACGTTTTCTCTCATTCTGAACTTCAATATTGGTGTTAGTTTCTAAGTCCTTCCTGTAGGAACCATGCTTTGCTGCAGTTACGCCTCCACCCACCTTGCCTCCTTCGTAAGTTTCAAGGTCTACACGCAGCGAAGGCCAACTGCCCTACAGAAGACGATCGCTGCAAGGGCTGCTGACGGAAATATTGGCCGTTCCAACTAATGTGTGAACTTTCAAATCAGGAGACACAAATACATTTTTTACTCAAAATTAATTTTAAAACATTAACAAACGCGTTTTATTGGTCTTTTTCTGATCTATTCATTACAGGCGAAAAACAAGTATCCAGTAGTTCAATTTAAAAAAATCTAACACGAAACTTAACATATTTCCAGCAATTTATTTGCGGCACATTACTCGGATTAGTATTGTTGGGTGAAAACCCCAATTCTATGTCGTGAAACGTTTAGAAGTTATGGAGGTGGTCCGTAGTTGGTGGTTCAACCGATACGCAGGGTAATCTCAGCATATACTGATTAAAAGAGTAAGCATCAAGGCATTTATTCGGTAGTTCCGTAACGAGAAAAGCTTCAAGAAGACTTCACAGGCTTTCACTTATAATCAGCACCAAAACAAACAAGCCAGAACCGTTATGTTTGGAGCATTTCTCGGAAATTACGAACTATTGGCAAAACACGGCCAAGGACGCTTGTGACATATCGACAGTCACCCGGAAATATCGTCCATAACAATGACGTAACCGCACACACACTAGCAGGTCGAGTCCCTTTGCCAAATATCTCATAATACCACAAAAATCTATTAGGACGATTTCCGAACCTAAAGGATTTTTATTATTCGAGGACATCTCGAGTCTGTTGATCCAGAGTGTGTTATACATATTACATTATACTTTCATAATATTGTACACACTATATAGCCATTAAATACCCAGAGGAACGAAAAGCCACCATGAACGGCCGGAGTCCGTTACGATCAATGGAAACATACGAGGATAAAGATTGTGTTTCAGTTCTCCTATTCAAAGAAAAGGTATTTCTTATTTATATAATATATCAAGATGATATTACGAAAAGTATTGAATGTCAAATGAACTTGGTCGTAATCCTCTGCTATCGCCTTGGTTCACAAAGTCAGAAACGTGCGTTATATGCACTTTTCTATATTAACATATTAAATAATTATTGCATTCTTGGAAAAGTGGCGTCACACACAAAATATCCACCACCACCACCACCAGCACCCGTGAGTGAAGTGGGCGCGGCAGGGCGACGGCTGCGTACTGACCTGGATGAGCGAGCGGAACTTCTCGGCCAGCTCCATGCGCCGGGAGGCGAAGCGCTCGGCGCCGTCGGGGGCGGCGTGGGCGTGGGCGGGGCCACGGGCGCGGCTGCGGGCGGCGCGCGGGGCCGACGGCGGCGGCGAGGCGTCGCGCGGGCGGGCCGGCATGGCCGGCGGCGGGCGCTGGAAGCGGGCCTCCTCCAGGATGGACACCACGCGCTCGTGCGTGAGCGCGCTCGCCGTCATGGTGGCGTGGGCAGTGCGCGCCGTCGCCGTGGCCGCCATGGTGCGGCTGGACGCCGTCACCGAGCACCGTCCAAGGCGGCGCGCCGCCCCGAACGCCGCCCGCGGCGGCGAGTCGTCGTCGAAGTCGAACCACGTGTTCATCGTGGCTTTCGCTGGGCGGACCGTTGCTGCGGCGCGGCGGCGGCGGCGACACCACGTGGAAGACTGACGGCAGCGGACCGGCCTCCGGAAGCTTCTCCACCGGCGGAGGAGGACCCGGAACACGGCGAAAACAGCCCCCGGAATAAAGGCGCAACCGGAAGGCCACTCGGCGGGAGGAGGGGGCGCGGTGCACACACTCTCCTGCGCGCGTGTGTGTGTGCGGGCGTGCAAAGGGCGAGCGCGCAGGCGAGACTTTGAAGTCGAACACAGGCAGCCGATATAATGCAACCTTGCGGGCCCGCTAAAGCGCGCCAAAACGGCCGGCCACGTCACGCCGCCGCTGCCGCCCCGGGCTAAGAATAGTTGCGCGAAGCGGAGACGGCGGAGGCGGGCAAAACGGGTCGCGGGCGGGCCGACGCGGCGGCGCGGGGCGCTCTCCCGAGAGAACAGTCATTCACGGCGGGAGACACGGGCCCGCGCGCGGAATCACCCTGGCCGCGGTGTAATCCCGATCTGTCAACTCCTGACCTTGCTCTTCGCGCTAAACGTGGACTTCGACGAGTGCTGCACGCGAGGTCACGGCACGCCGATTAATGTTGTACTCTCCCCCCTCCCACCACGAGTATCTTTGGCGATACAGGACGCACAATCACAAAAGCAAATGCGCTATCACCTGCCTCCTTGGCAACCACAATTATACGTTGCCGGCGACAGCATGAGGGAATCCCCATCTACACTCGCCAGCGAACGAAGTTTAACAAGCAGCGCTCCGCACAAGTGCTGCTCCCTATCCACCGATTTTGGAACGCAACACAACGCTCAAATTGACTAAAATGTAAAGTTTTAAAGGAAGTTTTCTTATTAACTTGAAAGTAAGTATTTTTGCTCATATAAACTTCACACATTAGAAAACTGTCACCGACAATAAACATACATAAAGGTTACGAAGGTTAACATAACCTCCACACCTATGAAACGAGTCAACATACGCACATGCAGGAATAACGTAGAGTCACTTCCCAGCCACCCAATGAATCCGCACGCAAATGTTGACACTACTTCTCAGTCGCCTAAAGGAGACATCGTAAAACACTACTCTTGCGTACATTCACAACCCGCACTCAAATAAACACACGCTCGAGGCCGACAATGAGAGTAACTCCTTCTCTCAGCGTCCGCTGGCGCCACATGCAACAACACGACGTGCGTGAGGCCTGTAGTGGCGCGATAGTCAAACAATCGAACTCGCCCAACACGAAATTTAAAGAGCATGCGAGGAGCAGGGATGGGTCGCTGTTTTTTGAGAATACGTTGGTGCTGCGTCCATTTTCTCGTTTCTATCCTCAAAATCTCATCATCGATTTTTCTCACCGTATATGTATATGTACTACGTATTCGAGAAAGTAACAATCAATTACATATTGATTGTGTACTAGGAGGCCATCCATAAATTACATAACGGTAATTTTGAGTAATTTGAATACTATCACGCCTCCTGTAACGCACCCGTAACGGGCGCTTTAACTTCCCCTAAATAATTACGTAAACAATCGCGACTACACCCCCTCCCTCCATTGATAAGTAAAAAGAAATTTTATTTCAGTCAAAACAATATATATTAATTTTATTTGTGTTTTGTCTATTTATATATAACGTGTATAAACGTATATGTTCCTGAAAATGACAACGAAGCCGTTCACTCGCCCTCGTGGATGTCGCTTAGGGAGAGTCCACTACACCAATTTAATTGGATTCTAGAATATAGATAAGTTTTGAATATTTTTCTTCGTAAACTTACATAAAAAATGAGAAATATTTTCATTTATTGTAAAAATTTACACATAATCATTTTCATTTATATAAGTTTTCGAAAAATAATTAGTTAATGTTTTAATATAAGACAGAAAAAAGTTCAGCAAATATAAAAAAAATGATAAGTAACTTTAAGCTTATGACCAATTTTTATACATTTTTTTATTTTTTTGCATTTTTAGTCGATTTCGACTGATAAGTCATTTTTACCCTTTTCCGTAATTTTTCGCTGATTTCGTTTATTTATTGAATGGTACTTGCTTCAAATTATATTTACGAGATGCAACAAATATTCTCCACAGGATTCCTGAGTGCCTATACCTAATCGATTTCTTCGCTCAGAAGTTGTAATGCCAGCCATTGTGAGCATCTAATTCAAGGTTCCTGTGACGCCTGTCAGCGCCATTGACGGTTCAGCCGATTTCGGGTTCACTACATACGGAGATTTCCTGGTACAGTCCAAACCAAAAGCTTGAAGTTGAAGTTTTCTTGAATGAATAGAAGCCCAATTACATCAGTAACGTACCCAACAGCTTAAGTTGTTCATCCGAACTGGTTTTGATAAAAAAATTGTTGAATTGTTAAAACGTTCTCGCACACACTATTATATAAGTGTTTTGTAAACATCCTGAAATTTTATTTTTGTGAAAATACAAGTATCTATGCGAAACATTTCAGATGGAATGGACGTTTACTATTCAGAACAAATAACTGCTAAAATAAAGACAATGACTGCATTTGTAAGCCCCAAGAAAACAGACCAAAAATTAAATCGAAATAATTTTACGGATATGAATATTTTACAATAGTGATTAAAATATTACACAGATATTTAATAAATTTTATTAACTATACCTGATTAAAAAATAAATTATTCATTTTTAAGCTTCGGATTCTGCAAGTGTACACTCGAAAATTAATAAAACGATTATTCTCTCCTCGTTTAATGTTCAAATAAAATGTTCACATTGAACACTGAAATACTTTCCCTAAAAAATCCAACATTTAAAATTGTAAAACCCAGCATTGATCTATTGCGACCTTGACAATGCCACTGAAAGAGGAAGTTCACAAAATGTGGGCCACGCTGTTCTACACGGCTTGGCGCCTCCTCGCACGCCAACTAATCGATTAAATGAATACTTACAGGCGATTACAACATGCAAAGGGGAACGTCCTCGACACCACAACAAAACGGGCGGATGTTATTCGAGTGTAGATTGTGATGGAAAGGTTGAGAAAACAATTTTTAAAATTGAAGAATCATCACTACAATAATCAGCGTATTATCGAACTACTGTTCACAAGTTTCTGGGTTCGAATGCGGTCCAAGTCATGGATCAGTACTGAAAGTATTACGGACAAAAATATATGACCAATTTGGCTCAACTAGCCGAATTCCTAACGTATTTCGGTTATTAATTTACCGCAATCATCTATTAAGCATCTTCTCTCGCTCCACCTGGTGTCTATACTTCGAAAATATATTGATAATAGCTTAATTTCTAGTAACATTTTGTGGAATACGGAAAGAGAGTTGCGAGGTAAGATAGTGAAAATAGCGCCGCGGGGGATTAATGCTTAAGCCGCGCCCCTTTTTTTCACAGTTATAGACATTTACGATTTTGTATATTACTCGGCGCAAGGTTGTTGTAGCTTTTTAGTTTAAAATGCATTGGATTCAGTAAACTCTGCCGTATCAATCAAAGTGATAACATGCTTTTATTCAGATAATAACTGCAAAGAAATCTATCGGACGCCAATCAACAAATTTCCAGAGAGTACTTTTCAGAGAGTAATTGTTTAAAGAAGGAATAAAGTCACAGACTTAATTTATTACCTGCGTTTACAAGTAACAGTGTAGTTACTTTATGTAAAATATTAATGATAAGTAGAGTACCACTTAAAGACACCCGACCAAAGATCGGAATTTTGATTTTCTTATTCTAAAATTTCAACTTAATATCTCTTCTGGCGGACCAGATAACAATTTGTAGCTGGTTTGCATTTTTTCTGAGATGATGAAGCCAATTTATTTAATTCTGAATCATTTCAAATGGAATTACCTAACTAAATGGGGCCATGGGCTACCTCGGATCCAAAAGTAAAGGTACAGGGCAGAGATAGTTCTTACTCAAGCGAAATATTCGGGCAGCACGAGAAGTTCACGGCACGGTAAATATATTTCGCCTTTATAACAGACCATTACTTCTAAAAGTTTCTCTTAACACTGGATTTGTGTTTGACACGTTATGAACACTATTCTAAGTCATCTTCAAACATTAATGTTATAAATGAGAAACGGTGAAAAAAATAAATACAGCCTTTTTACCTGTCTGGTGCTAACGCTAAATAAAAATGCGCAGTTTGTGGGAATCTATACAAAATCGACTGGGCTACGATTTCTAATTATACGTTTGCTCCAATCTACTTAAATATGTTTTTCCCACTTTTTTGCATTTATGAAAGTTTTATAACTTTTTAATAGTTTTCAGGGCTAAAGAAATTTGAAAAAATTCTGGAAACACTCAGAGACTCTTTGAAGTATTTAAATAATAACTGAGTTACACCAACTATTAATAATACTTATTATTTTTATGTCGAAAAAATAAAATGTCGATAACTCGTGTTTTCATTCTCCAGGTCAAAGGTAACAAGAAAGTGAAGGTGAAAACAGCATAACTTAATTTTTTAAACTGTTTTGAACAGGTTTATTAGCTCTGAGTCTATTGTCATCTTACCCCTTACCTCCTTTTGTCTCTCCATATTGAGTCCGTAAACTTCAGAATATTTTTTGTCAGGTTCCCAAAACATAATACAAAGATGATATTAAACATTAAGATAATACGAAATATGACTAAACATGACTCACCGTCCTCAAAATTACTGAAAAAATAATTTTAGTACTAAGATAAATTGTTGTGTTGTGGATATTGCGTTTTCAAATTTGTATGTCAGCTTGCAGCGGTAAAAATTCTTGTATATATGGCGCTTGTGGAAGTGATGCTTTTGACCGTCCCATACAATACCTGTTTTTGTGAGGAACAGAATCGGGGTTCTGCGCAAATTACATAAAAAACACCCAAATGTACTTCAAAAAATATCGTATCGCTTGAAAATGGCATTGAATCTTGAGGTTGTTTCATTGTTATTGTTTTTTTTGTGTTTTGAAGAATGTTAACAAAATCTTTTTTTTTAATACAATTTAAATTAGTGTATTTTTAATTAGAACCCTTTTTTTGTCACAGCACGGGGGTTGGGTCCAAAAGCATTCATGCATTTTCCGCCTAGTCCATTGTAAAGAAAACTTCCATTTTCGGGGAATTTTTTGTTGATGTGAAAATTGTCGATAGTATGATTATTTAATTTGGACAAGTTTTTTTTTTTTAAATTTTACGTCGTCTGCTTTTTTCTTGCTTTTTAGCAGTGTATATTTCTTTTTTTTAATTAAATTAATTAAATTTACAACATTGTATGTATTGACACTACGGTAAGCTTTTTTATCAAATTTGCTTAACATTCTCATTGGCGGAAACTGCGCAACAAATTGAATACTCACGACTCCATCTTTATACCACGAAGAGAATTCGATCAACACAACCTGTCACTTGGCAGCACAATCAAATTTCCCGAGTCCGAATAAGAAATTAGGCGGCACTTTAAATAAAACAGAATTATTTTCACTAATATTCAAATCAGATAATATTGCTGAAATATTTTATGTAGAAATTCGTTCTTTTAATGGAAAAAAGGAAACTTCTTTCACGACATTTTGATTCATCACTTTTTTCCCCTAATTTCATATATCTTGAACACTTAATAAGCCCAGATCGACTTGCAGTTTGCGTCATCTGTCACTCTTATCTACTTCTCTAGCACTTAATGATCCATGGAATAGTGACTGAAGATATATGCAATGCATATAGTGCAATTCATATAAAACATACATACATACACACACATTTAGCTTAATGTTAATTTTAAATTTGATGTTAATGGAAGTGTAGCCAAATCTTATATTTTACTACAAAGAACATTGTTTTCTTTTATAACTAGCAAAAAAGAACTTGAGTTAGAAGTTAATGTTTTGTATTTTGATACAGAATATACAAAATTGGTTGTGTTCTTCATACTCAATCCGATTTTCCTCATCTCTTCTTAAAATTTTCTGTTAAGTTCTTCAGGATATTTTCTTAAATTATTGAGTTTCTCTGTACGATAAGAAGGCTGGTTTCAAAAAATCATGGGATATTCTTACATCACAAAGTTTGATATTTTATGGATTTATGATGCACACGCATCGACCATCTCACTCTCATCATCATCTTGACTAATCACTATCTTTTAACTGGGAACGATTTTAAATGATGAAATGAAATTTTAAACGTTGACCTCATACATTCATCAACCACTTAGCAGTTCCTCTTTACGAAATTCAAATGCTGACGTAGGTATGAGACGCATTGCAATATTTTCTTTTGAAACAAAAAACGCCACACGAACCAATTTCAGTTATAAAACGATTCCAGCTAATGCACTTGAAATACATCACTACTATGCAAGTAATGGCAGTAGCTACTACGAGGATATAAATACTATGCTATATTATTCTTTCAATATTCTACACCTGAGCCACTTTCATCACTACTCTCAACCTCTGAAACTCTGTCTCCAATCGGGACCATTTTTCATATAATTCGACAATTTGATCTCGTTAAAACAAATCTAAAATTCTTCCTTAAGTAACCTGTGTCTACTGCATTTCACCTTCCAAATCTTAAACGATTCGCAGACACAAAAATGCTCATTTTTAGTTAATATTTACAAACTTTTCTCAAAATGTCACTCAAAATGTTATGTACACATAATTACATCCAGAATTTCTGGTTTCGAGAAAATTAACTTTGTAAAGGAACTTAAGGTGAGACAATAGTTGTATTCTGGGAAAAAGTATGATCCCTCTTTTATGGAATACAATCATTGTGGACGCTAGATAGGTATGAACGAAAGGTCAGCAAAAATGATATTAATCCAAAAATAAACTTTGCTAGACATACAATGTCTCCACCAGGCCATCGACATATTCAGAAAATATTCCAATTAACTCAATGGTTTACTTTGCGTTTCTTATCAACAAATATTTTAATTTATTCGCAATTTCGTAACTTCGTAAAAAGAGAAAGCTCTATAATCATGCTCCGGAAAACGGCGAATTTTCGGCAGAAAAATTCTTGTCGACCCCTGGCAACGAAAAAGTGTATTGAAGCTCTTTTTCAGAGAACAGTCTCAAAAAACTTCATTAGAAGTCATTTGAGTATATTTAAAAAAAAATAAAAATGTGTATTTTTTAAAAAAAAGAATACAGCAAAATGAACTTTACGTTATCTTAAACAGTGTCATTAGCACAAGCGTTTGGAAAGGTTTCAAGAAAAAAGTTGGAGCCATTTTTGAGAAAATGGTGTTTGTGCGTCTCTGAAAAAGCGGAATTTTGAGCTCATTTTAGCAGAAGAATGTCGAGTTTTCGAGAAACTTTATATGACGTTATTTAAAGCATATGAATGGATGAAAACCAGAACGGTATAAGTGACATTTTATATATTCTGAGAAATCTATTTAAGGGAATATCACTGAAAAGTTGTGGTGCTTCGTTTCATCATTAAAACCACGGCGTCCGATTTTCACAGTTAAATTTGAATTATCGAAAATTGCAAATGTGGAATTGTTTTCGCGTCTTTCTATAACTACAAAATTGATGTGAAATATGTGAACAAATTGCCGCTAATGTTAATATTAATGACGTGAGAGGCAAGTACAAAAAAAAAAACTTTTGTAATATTAGAAAAAACAAAAGAATGGTTTATGACATTATGACGTTTATGACTCTATGACGTTTATGTCATCTTACAGAGGGCATATAGCACTATCCCTACCAAATTTTTCAAGAAAAAATTGGAGTCGTTTTTGAGAAAATCTTGCTTTTGTTATTTTTTAAAATTGCACCTATTGCACGCAATATTATTCATTCATACACAAACATAATAAAAATACCTGCGCTGTAGTGGCAGTAAAACGGAACATAGATTTATTCATAGTTCTTCGATTTCGTTCTTCGTTCTTCGATTTGCAGGATAAAAACAACAAAACATACAATTTCTAAATTTGTTTGTTAAAGATAATTGCATTTTCATCAATTAATACGAGAATATGCAACATTAGGCATTTAAACACAAAATAGGCATTTATAGGCACTATAAAATTCGCATATAAAGCTCCTAATGCCTCAAAATAAATAAATAACGCAAACAATTGTATTTTCTATTGAATGGGGAAAAAGGCAAATAGGCAAAAAATCCGCAGCTTATAAATAACATTTCTTCTTCTAGAGCAGTTATTCACTTTGACCTAACCAATAAATTCACTACGCACTTCACAGACCTTCACTGATACTTTGCCTATTTCTTGTGAAGCTTTTACCACGTATCCAATTAATTACAGCTGACGATGATTTCGGGCAATTGAAAACCATGAGACTAACAATAGCACTCATGTAGCACTAAATTAAACTGTAATCACATCAGTTGACAAACACGTAAAGACAGTGTGATAATAGCACCTTGGAAATGCAGTTAGCAGCACACTCTGCCGCCACCGTCGGGAATAAATCGTGGCCGAATGATCGATTACCATGCATTACCACATAACTCATACATTACCACATAAGTCACCCAGGTCGCCCGCTAAATCTGGCGCAATAGCGGGTCGTGGTGGGGCCCGCTAACATTTCGAGTTGGCGCATGCGCAGACTCAAAAAAGGAGTCGATTACGGTCGCCAGAGTGTGCACAAACTCCCAGCTCTTTCTAGATTTCACCCGTTATTGATATCGATACTGCGTCCGATTGCTTTAATGTTCGAGAGTGCACTAATCTTAAGGCGGCTCCACACATGCGGCATTCGGCGAATCCCGAGCAACCGCTCGCCGAATTCCGAGTAGCGTGGACGAGTTGCTTGCGATTCGCCGAGCGCCGAACATTCGGTATTCACCCTATCCACCACGAGTCGGTGTTTCGGACACATCAAAGGGAGCGAACATTCGCCGAACACATCAGCTGTTCGGGATTGGACGAGCTGCTCGGCGAATGCCGAATGTATAGAGTCACCTTTTCATTTACAGGGGGTGGTGAAAATACATGGGTGAGTTCCTCCGGCACACCGATTTTTGTTCGTTCTGCGCAGCACTAGTTTGCGTCACGAATCACGTGACCACAGCATAGGCACTTCGTTTGAAAAGCCAGACCAGATGAGACTGGTCGCCATGCTGCATGGAGAGCGAGTAGTGTTTAGAAACATTTTGAAAGTGGTACAAAATTACCGTTTTCAATAATAACCAGCCAAAAATTACACGATAGTGTACAAGGTGAATTTTTTTTTTTTTTTTTTTTTTTTTTTTTTTTTTTTTTGAAGAAAAGCTTCATAAATTTGTGTCGGCAATGTTTTGTAAACGAGTGGTGTAACTTTTTGGTATCTGGCTTGCATTTAAGGAATTGCCGCTAAATATTGTGACACCAAACTTGATGTGCTTGAAGCTTCATTGGGCTGAGAGTCGGATCGATGCCACAAGAGCCCCGCCCTCGCCCGCCCCGCGCCCCTTACCCACCCTTATCTACGACTCGGCGTGATACTAGTTCTTAAAAAGCAATGGGAACCATGCGCGCCTAACGAAGGGTTAAAGTTGAAGCTGAGATGTTAGTAAAAATTGCAATATTACAATATTGCGCAACTGCTTCCAAAAATGCGAAAATGTATGTACTTCATTTATGCTGAATATATATTTTTATTTGTCGACTTATATTAAATTTTTATAACGTAAACTATTTGTTGTACTGAATGACTTTTGTTACGTTACAAAATTAGTGAAAGCTGTATTTTGTGTTTCATTAGCTCCTGAGGAGAGGGGGGGGCTGAGGCCTAATGACCCCCCCCCGTGAGGCTCCACTACATATTCACTCTCCGAAGCAAGTGCTTCCAAAACACATTAAATCAAATGACTTTCAAATCCTATCTTGCGTTCACGTAGATAAAAAAAATATTGAAGGAACCAGAATAACGCACACACATATCAACGCATCCTCATTCATATCTCATCGCGACGATCCACTTAAGCAGCTGATCGAGGGAGGTATGGGAGAGGGACACAGCTCCCAGACTCCTTGTGTTGTGCTTTAAACAGGGCATCCCCGAAGCATGTCAGTGAACTGATTGCAGAGACGTGATCAACATGCGCAACCTTCAGAACTCTTGCGTAATAGTTATGGTTGCCAGCTTTCCAAAGAGTGATTTCTAGTCTTGGTAATACACGGCTTTTTTTTACATATGATTTTGGAATTAACAATTGAATTCTATGAATTCCATTAAGAAGTAATGATTTGCAATAATTTTATCTATTTTCTAATTTCATATATATATATATATATATATATATATATATATATATATATATATATATATAATTGAATACTACCTTAATATATATTTACATTTGAAATACATAGTGCAAATTTTAATTAGTAAAAAATAAATTATATTAATTGTTTACCTAGTTTTCTTGGATTAACTATTTCATATCATTTCTTTGCTTGCAACCACAAAAATTGATTTGGAATATGGCAAGACATTTAATGATGAAGTGCAATTATGTGACCCTTGTTTACTTAAAAGTGTTATGACAGATTTTGAAACAAAAACTGTCACAAGCCGGCTTATAAGTACTATACAAATTGGAGAAAATAAATTCATATTTTTTTTCATTTTTAAACACCATCAATTAACCTGATCAATTTATTTTCAACCATGATTGTTTTAACCAACACTCTTTCAGCATTTTCTGACTACCAAGAATTGAAGAAAAGTTCTGGCTGGCCAAATATTTATGATTAGATGGCAACCCTAGCAACCGCCTCCGCACATTTCCATAGCGATTTAAATTATAGGTAATAGCTTCCTTCAACGAAATCAAGAATAATTTGAATTTGTAACATAACCATCAATGTCCATCCATTACAATATAATACAACAAAAACTTACACCTTCAGTTTAAGGAATTAATTTACATACAAATACTATATTCGTACTTTTCTACAACTACCTTCCGGCTTATAATTTTGTTACAAATATTTTCAGCTTTTTAATCCTCACAATAAAAAGAAAAAAAATTCAAAATGTGTTCGTTGGATAATAAAACGAACACATGAATATACCAGTTTACGCTAAGCTACAAAAATTGTGTTTGTGCACTCCTTACATTCTGCTGCACGTAAATTAATTAATTTATTATCGAAGCGACAATGCCCCTTGCGGTGCAGAAACTTCACACTCACCTCCTGGCGTGAAGTTTCGTCGCCCATGGCGCTGACACCTGTTTCGTAGTAGCGGTGATTGCGTCAAAGAGTCGATTCCCGTCCGTGTATGCAATACGCCGTCGTTCCAGCCTTCTTTCAAAGAGCAGGCAGGAAGTTCCCTTAGAGCCAGTGTAGGAAACGGGCGAGTCGATAACAGACGTACGACACACACAGAGAAACGATGCGACCGCAGCTGGGGCACAGCGGAGGAGAGTGCCCGTGCCCGGCCACCGATTACCAACAACACCCCGCCTCCGCCCCGCCATGCCCCTCCACGCCGCGCCGCGCCGCACCACGTCCGCCGCGTCGTACTACGGGGAACCCCCGACGAGGAGGAACGGCTCAACCCCCCCCCTCCCCGCCCCACGGCGCGGCGCGGCGCGGCCACCGCCGGCCACGCAGCGCGCACGCTGCCCGCTCTGCAGCCCGCCCAATTCTCCAGCCAATGGACGTCCCCGAACGGCGACGGCGCGGCAGTTGGCAATAGCAAAGAGTACTGAACATTCTACATAATACTACAAATGGCAGTACTAATATGATAAACACTATGCAATACAATGTTTCTTTAATTTTTTAGCCATTGAATGCCCCTTAACGGGTAATTTGCCCCCTAATACAGGATATTCAAATTCTGCAAGAGTTGCCTTGTAAGTTGGGTTTTCAGCGCACGTTTTCTTGAGCCCCGTAATATCTACCCTTACTCCTTTGCCAACATTAGATGATTTATGAGTAAATAATAATAAGGAGCGTTGTAGACAAAATCTGATAACCAGAAATGTTCTCTACCATGTAATAGAAACTATTTTGCATCGAAAAACGAACTAATCACTTTGATATAAAATTCCTTTTGTGAAAATAACCAAATTTCCCACTCCTTTCGCAACTAGCAAAGCGAGGGCTCAAGAAAATATGCGCGGATAATACTTTTTATTGTACATGTGTTTACAATAGAAATTGCAAAAATACTATTTTAAAATCTTAAGATCTACTAACAATTTAAATCCAGGTTATTAATTTACAGATATAATGAGCCCTAACAGAGGCGGAATTTAGTATCTTTTATTGGGGGCCAAATATGGGCGCTATTATAAAGATGAAAATATTCGTTTATATTAATGCTTAAATATTCGTTTATATTAAGTTAATTGTGCTACGATTACAAACATTTTTTCAATTTTGTTAATTGTTAAATTTATTATTATTGAATGTTATTCATTAGATTAGTTGAATGTGAGGTTATGATTTTCATTGTTATTTTAATGATGCAGTGAATCATTTATCGAAATATCGAAAGAGTTTATCATTTATTATAACCACATACTTTATATTATAAACAGATATAAAATATGCACGATACATATTTTAAAATCTACATTAATAAATATTCTTTTAATTAAAATGCAATCTTCTGTTTTTACAAGTTCGAAAGAAGCTTTAGTCTACAAAATGCAGGTAATACTCTATTTGATATTTATATTTTGTTAAGACTAGAGCCTGTATGTTATGACCAAAAAAAGTTTGAAATACGCAAGAACTTATGAAATAAAAATTATGATATATTGATTATTTATTTATTTCACTCTTATCTTCGATCAGTGTGATACTACCTGAAAACAGAGACATAGCGGTTTTGATGGAGGCAGCTTCGCGTTCGCCTTCATTGAAAACCTCTTTGATAGCTTTTTAATTGATACCATTGGTGCTATGGTAAACTGGTAGTAAGAGGCTGCATCGGTGATCATTTTCTGTTTTCACTCCTTCAGACTACAACATTCATTGCTCATGCAAGGTAACTGCATTTGTTGAGTGGTTAGTTCTGTCCTACGTTTCACAGGAAATGAGAAATTGATCTCCCGCTCGGTCTTCCCTTAAAACCAGGGTTGCCATCTGTCGTCTTTTTTTGTTTTTCTTTCTTTCCTTCCTCCTCTAGTCTTCCTTCTTTTTAAATATAAATGGAATGTCCTTCCTTTTTGCCTTGTTGAATTGAAAAGAAGACTGACATAATTTTAAAGTAATTAATTCATTAAAAGGAATTCATGCCTTCAATTTTCAAATAAATGGTCCATAAAAAATAACATTTTTACTCGAATAAATAGTCCACATAATAGGTCATTAGGGATATTATGACATAAAACTAATTTTTGCTTATTTTTTGGTGCATAATGAAGATGAGTATGGGGGTGAAGTTACTCAATCGGAAGCTTTCATTTTTAATGCAAAAAGTCTAATATGCTTTTTAAAGACTATTACTGGCTTAGAATTGTTGAGAACATTGTCTATACATTGTGGTGTATAAAAATGTAAAAAGTCCTCTTTTTCATTGAAATGCCTTTCTTGTTTAAGTAAAATGTCCTCCAATGGGAATTTTTTTTTGTTTACCCTGTTAAAACATGTTTGAATTAGGAGAGGTAAAAAAGTCTTTGAGATAACTGCAAGCAAGTATGCAGAAAATGGAGCCAAAATGATAAAAATATAATGAAAATTCATGAGAAAATTTGACTATAATATGAAATACTAACAAAAATGACAATTATGAAATGAAATGTCTAAATATATTTTGGAAAAATTTGCCCCTAGATTATGGGAGGCTGTTGCACCCTGCTGCTGTCCCTGAATCCCACCACTGAGCGTTAATGAAATTTGTCTGGTTAAAAAAGCAATTGAATTAAATAAAAAAGCAATTAAATTGTGTAAATTGGGTGCTTTTTATTTCTTGCCTAACGAATATTTTAAGAAGAGAAAGCTATGTAATTGTGCACCAGAAAATAATGATTTTTTTATTTCTGTGTTAATTTTTCTTTGTGAACAAATATATTTGTTTATTTTGTAAATAATAAACAATATGCATGCTCCTGGAGTGTTTATATGCTTCTGAAATGCCAATTGTTGCATAGAAAGTATTTTTTCAAACCAACTTTTTGAGTACTTCTGGTGGCTCAGCCAATCGAAATATCGAAGAAGTTTATTAAGCAAAATGTGCCTAAAAATGTCTTAAGAGCTTATTTTCGAAGTTTTGTTGTTTCCTCCCTGGACACCCTGAATACTGTGGTACAACCACTAGTATGCAACATTATAAGCTACAAAATCACAGTTGCATCACTTCCACTACACTTTCTAGATAGTTCAGAATGTGTGTAGTACTGTTTGGTCCAGAATAAGTTCGCTGTAAGAGTATATGCCATTAAGACTGTCCAGGTCTTCACGGTGTTTGCTGAAAGATCTGTTGTAGTACTCACTGATTCCCAGCTAATCTCTATATAAATCTGCCTGTTTAGTCATTTGTTCTTCCTCTTTACCAAAATAAAATAAGAAAACAAAAGAGCTGGTTCCTGAAATCATCAAGACAAATTTTACGAACTTTCTTCCTCTTTACTAAAAAATCCATCCAGCCCACATTTCCACATGTCTTTCCCTACAGATCGTATTAAATAAAAAGATAATCGATTGTTTCACAGTGATCATATTACTCTATTTATGGCATTCCATTTAGATTAATAACAAAAATCATGCCAGATTTTATCTGCCCTTTGTGTATGATTAAAAAATTCTCCAATTAATTGTAAGCTTGATTGTTCTAATAACAATCCAAAAATTATAGGAAACAGGTCCAATTACAAATTCACTTCGAATAAATTTAAAATATACAGACAGACTGATGTAAAAGTTTGTTTGCATTTACACATTGGCATGTAAACACACAAGAAGTTTAAGTACACATAAGTTATTTTTCAGTTTCATGAAAATAAAAGAATGTAAACATTGATTTAAAATCAAACAAAGATAAATTGTGCACAAAGCAACATTTTCAATTTCCACTATGGTAAATTATTTTTATATTAGCTTAATTGTAATGTTTTTAATTTAATTTTCTCATGTTGTAAATGTTTTTTGTAATGAATGTATAAAAATAAGTATCATTAATTTTGAAATACAATTGTTAACTATTTAAATAATGAATTATTTGATGACAAGTAACATACCATATAAGTCATAAATATGGAATATTTATTTTGCATTATTCTTACTGTAGAAAAAAAATTTTGGAGAACAGAAATTTAAATTATTGAAAGTCCTAGTTGAATTGAAAACCAGGTATAATGAGTTCATAAACATTTTACCTTCTACTCAAAAAACAGAGGGGTTTGATGTAGGTTAGCACGAATGTAACAAACAACTCTTCAACTTTCAAATTATGTTTAATTAAAAAATTATGCTTACTTTTTCATTTTGCATAACACTTTCTACTAATCTGTAGCATATGTTGCAAGCAAGGCATCAAACCATTTCAAATAGCGATCCAGTTTCAGGTAATAAAATATTTTCATTTAGGTTTTTAATAATAAAATGTTTTGGTTTCAGTTTGTTTGGATATTGAAATGGTTCCTAACAAATTGTTAACGATTTTATTAAATAATTTTGAAATTCATCAAAATGCTAAAGAAAGTTCTTTAGCATTTTGATGAATTTCAAAGTTTGTAACCGCACCTTTCCAATTCAGGACAAAAACCTCAATTGCTGAAAATATAGAAACAATAATAAAATGCCTACTCTCTGAAAAACTCAGACCTATGTTGTTAATACAGTGAGTCACTTCTTGAAACATGAATTAATGAAGTTCGTGAAATTCATGAAGATTCTTGAATTGGAAAGGAAACCGTTCTAATTGGTCCCAGTAACATATGTAAAGGAAAAATAATATTTTGCTCCTAACTGAAACAGTTTTTAATAACTGGTTTGATGCTTTGGTTGCAAGTGAATGTAAGGTATGAAAGGTTAACTGGAAAATAAATTAATGCCCAGCAGAAATAGTTTAGGATTACTTATTATTAACCACTGCATCATTACATATCTCCAATTGCTATATGATCCAGCACTCAATAATTCCACACAAATTCAAATTCTTTACATTATGTACACAAGCCATTATCTACACAGCATTAACATACATTCGATATGTCCTGCACATAAGTGCTCAAGCAATCACAGAAACTTCTGACAATGCAATAAAGTGAGACCTTTTATATACATTCAATACATTTTTACAAAAATATATATAACTAATTCTCATACAAATAATTTCTTTTAAAAATTATGAAGAACAAACATTGAAGAAAGAGACTGGCCTTTTCTGAGAATATTTAAAAGGTACCACCGTGATTTTGCTTTTTAACTGCAGTAATACCATGTCATTTATTCACAGGGACATGTTTTGTACATCATCAAAGTATTTAGCAGGTAAAAATACCAAAGTTACTTTCATAAATGCCTCTGACTTGGAATGTAATATCTAATCAAAATAATACTATCATAAAAACATATGGAAGACGTGTACCAAATAACATGCCAATATTCTCTTTCTTCACGCAAAGTTGACTACCAAAACAAAAATAAGAAGGAATCATATCTATATACATTAGTTACTCCATTTAAATAATAATAATAATAATAATCATAATAATCATTATTATAATCAATGATAAAAGGTTCGAGCTAATACAGTTTTTAGTACACATTTGGCAAAGGGTTCTACTCAAGCAATCGCACAAGTAATAATGGATTTCTTACATTTTTCTTTTAATGAAATTTATTTAAAATAGTTTTTGTTTACCCAACCATTTTGTCTAGGGAACAGAATTATCATTTGTAGAGAATCTTTACGGAATCAAATAAATAAGAATAATTTAAAAAACAACAAATATGTTTTCAACTGAAAATGGAAAACAATAAATTCCTACTTTAAAACATTAAATGCTTATATAGAAACAAACACATAATTACAATACAAAATGTTACACAAATAGGTACATATTTGACTTTTAAACTTGAAGAGATTCTAATGTTTCTTTCAAAACAGATGAGAGTAATAATCCAGCTGTTGATCAAAATAATTACTGCACTGCTTTTCACACACGAACAGGTAGAAATTCTTTAGATTATATAATAGATGAGCTATTCTATTGATTTTGATATACATGCAGCGAAGGGTTCAAAGAGAGCAAAATATGCTTCATGTATTTTCCACTTTTTTGTTCTGACCAAAAGCTTGAAACACTTCATTCTTCTCTTATTTTCAAATTCAATCACATCAGCAAAGCTCTATGAATAAAATGGTCATACTTACACAAGGAAAATGTATATTTCTGAATAAATGCATTCATAAATTATATAAAAAGGAAAAAAATACAGGAACATCAGTTTTCAAAAAAGGGGATATGCTATCTTCTTTTCAATTACATAGAAGTGATATGAATTAGCTCCAATTGTTTAAATGGATTTCTTTTGTTTTCTCATGGAAAATATACATTTCACCTAATATCTGTAATAAATAAGTAATACTCAACATCGCAAACATTTGATCCAATTTTAATATATATTTTACATTGTTTATAAATATGTACTCATCTTTCTAAAAGTAAAGTGTAACCCTAACATACAATATCTTTGCTATTCAATTAGTGTAGTGTGAACTACATAAAATGAAAAATTTGAATCACATTCAAAAGTATATTTCATATATGAGGTCAGGTCAAACAATTTTGCATAACCACTGACTAAAATAGAATTTCCAGCAATCTTTATAACAATCAAAGTTTACTAATGTTTAACATTATTGCCACTTAGCAACAATAAAAAAATATTATAGTACTTTAGATTAACAAGCTGCTTTTGTGAACCTCCAAAACACTGAAAATGACTATAGCAATAACATTCCAAACACACTCATCACTTTCAATAACGAATGTTCAAGATATTACATACAGGCCAATATATTTACTGTGAGAGTAGAAGAGTGTGAATGGTCTGATCTCTAAAGCAAGATACTATATCAGAGGAATCGCTTTTAGATCTTACCATGGAAAAACAGACACCACTGCTACATTTCTCTTTAAGTACCTTCTACCTGTAGACATCTTGTTTATTTTTCTGCATCGTAAGACGGGCAATTTCAGTACCCAATGTGTCAATATTTTCCTGCAATTCAAAGTTATACAAGAACATTGTAAAGATAAACTAATACATCATCAAAATCCTCGTTTTGTACAAATAAAATTAATTACCTTCAGGGTTATGTTCTTCAATAAAGTGTCTTCAAGAACAGCTTGCAATTTTTTATTTATTTCAAGAGATAGTTCTAAAGTTATGGAACTGTCAGCTACCTTGGAACCATACAGAGATGCCATAATGCCACCATGTTTAACAACTTCCGCCTGAAATCAAGCAACATTTGGAAGGAAAATTAGTGCTGTACAAAACCAGGAAATAAAGTGCTAGTGTCGTGATAATAAATACCCATTACAACATATTTAAGCAAATGCATTTCAATATGAAAGAATAAAGTCCTACCTTGCTCTTTTGTCTTTCTGCTCCAATATATGCAAGCTTGTGGAAAGTGTACCAATTTTAATTACTCAGAAATTATCTTACAAAACTACTCTCACAGAAAGGAAGAATTATAAAAAATTAACACATTTAAGATAAATATAATAAAGTCAAAAAGTTCATTTTTGGCAAATCCCACAAAGAAATGATAATGAAAATCAACATTTCTCTCTCCAAAGGTTTTTACAATATAATTATTGTACCACTTTAAAATTGGTTCAAAGGCCTCCAAAAACTATAATATTTAATCTCTTTTGAAATTTATTTTGATTCTATTAGAATATAATCAAGAGGAAGATGAAATGGTAGGAAAGCAGAGAATGAACGGTTAACATGATAAGTCACTAACTCTGGTAGTGCTGGCTTTCATTCTTTTATAATACAAAAATACAAAACCTTTAACATGTTTCCTTTTGCTTTTAAATTTTTTTTAAAAAAATGGTTGTGTCTTTAAGTGACGCAACTCGTCTCCAAGCCTCGCGGGGCGTTAAGCGCTTTGCACTTCCGGAGTATTCCTCCATTAATTTCAGCGGGAGTTCGGAGAATACTCCATTAACATATCCGTCTCGCAGTCGGTCGTCATGAGAACCGCCAAGTAGCATCTCCGCGTACGCGCCCTAGCGTCACTACGTAGCTGCCAGAATTGGGAAGGAATTAGGATTGGGGAAGAGTTTAAGACATTTCACAGAGGTTGGACTAGCCCCTGTGAAACATGCTAACTCGTTTTGTCGTAATAAATGCCACATGTTATCCACGGGTATTCTACGGGAATCGAACACGGAACCTAAGTGGTGAAAGGCAAGCGACTTCGCCATTATGCCACGAGAGCATTACATGCTTCAAAACATGGTGTCCTGTTTTCAAAAATAGGAATGTTTGTTATGTTTCTGTAACTTTTCATACTTATTTTAGCGATGTTTGTTGACTGAAGTCTTAATAACTCTCATTTTGTTTCAAACATATGTTTAAATTCTTTTTAAAACCAATGTTTAAGTAAAACATAAGGTGAACAGCACCAGCAGTCACTTCATCCTATAAAACAACGGATGGTTAGATCAAGATTTATATCAAGTGACGCTCGTGGTACAGAGCGGAGTCGTCACTCGTCATACACCAAGGAAGTCCGGTTTCGATTCCCGGGCACGCTCATGTAAAATTTGTTCCAACACAACAAATTTGCCAACTTCACAAGGGCAAGTCCAACGTCTGTGAAGTGTCCTAAACCCTACCCGTATCCTTCTGAATTCTGGCTGCTGGGTAGTGACACAGGAGCGTGTAGTAAGAGACGCGTACGCGGCTACCTGGCGGTCCTCTTGACAACTGACTATCGAGACTGGACAAATATAATAAATGTTAATGGAGGATTACTCAACTCAATGTCCGTTTAGAGGCTTGGAGATGCATTGCGTAAGTAAACAAAAAGACATGGTCGTAGAACGGAAACAGGAAATTCTCGCCCACAGGCTGTAGAGGAACAAGAAAGTAAAAATGTCCCCAAATCTTTTGAGGAATACATTAGGGACAAACATCATTACAAAATTAGTTTTTATTTTTTTGAGTATGTTCCACTTCTCAAAAACATTTTAAAAAATGGAAAATCCTGGCAATTCTTTTGTTTTTACTCAAGGGAATAGCTGAACTTCAGAGTGATTGCAAACAGGTTTCATAGACACCATAATAACTAATTCTGAAAACATTTCACAGACAATCAGTCCCTTAATGAGTGGGCATAAGAAAACAATATCAGTGGTGAGGGAAAAAAAGTCTATAACTTCAAATGTGTACTGATTAGCCATCAAAATATGTAATTTCATATTGATGCTGACAAATCATTGCATACACTAATAAATTTAAATGAATAATTAGTATATCTAGACTCATAATTCTGAATACATGCTGATTTTAAGAAACTTTATGTAGATAATTATATTTAAAATTGGATACATTGATTATTTCTATTTTTCAGTACTATTGTTTCAGTGTCTTGCATTTTGTCTGTTTTGTGTATAAAAACTTTGATATGCCAAGTTCCCAAAAAATCAAAAACATTGATTCACAATTACAATCTTCCAGTTAGGAAATATTGCCCATTTTCTTAATCATTTTACCTATCTTAGTCTGAAATAAGATGATTTACACACTTAAAAAATGAGTTTTTAAAGTTTAGTTGTCAGTTTTGTCATTTTCACATTTAATATCTTACAATGAGGGGCCCTGCAGCTGTGTCCATACACCAGTAAGTTGTCCGCAACTGATCTAGACTACAAGAAATGTGGTACTGAGAAGGAAAATTAACATGGATTTGGTTTGATTTGGTGGCTCATTATTTCTCAACAAGCAATCTGTGATAGAGAGAAATAAATAAATTATTTCAAATCCAGTTTCTGCATCCGATTGTAAGAAAGAATATAAAGTAACCAAATGACGATAAGAGCAACTCATTTTCTGGATTATAGTAAATGAAATAGTCAATAAATAAAAGACAAAATAAATAATTACAAAATAATAAATAAGCACCAAATAATAAAAACAATATAAATATAAAATAAAGTAAAACAAATAATTAAACAGCCATAGTTGTTGAATATTTAGAGTCTAACATAAGGAAACTGAAAAGAGAGAACAAAAAGTGATCAGGCCATACAAATTATAACTACCGACAAATGAAACAAAACATTTTTCTTTTAAGCTTTAGTTGACTGGCCAACATTGTGTTCCCTGCCATAAATCTGAAGGCTCTTGTTCTCAAATTAATAGTTTAAGTAAGTCTCCACTAATCTTCTCAGAATAGAGAGTTTTCTCCCCTTTTTTTTTTTGTTTACAATTTACCATGAAATGTATAAAATTTTCAAATGCTATTTTTTTTCACAATTCCTATGGAAGAATGAGCTGTCTCCTGAAATTTTGGCCAGGACTATGAATGACAAATATTAATGAGAAAATTCTTAATGGGTTTATTAGAGGTCTTCACGTTTTCATATTTTAAAAAAGAATGTTTTTTCTATTTTTCTTTTAATTGTACATTTCTTCAATTTCAATATTAATATGTTGAAAGATGACAAAAATCACAAATAAATATAACTGCTTCACCATACAAAACTCCAACAATACTAAATAAATGTATTACCTTATTCTGATCCATAGTTTCTGAAGACAGGGCTCCTTCCTGCTCACGTAAGATATAATTTTGAACAATGCGCTTTTTCTTTTGAAGTTCAGATGTTAATTGATTACTATGTTCTTCCAAGAATTCAATTTTCTCTTGTTGCCGTGCATTTGATCTTTGCAACTGAACAATGCGTTCTATCAGCATCTGGCGGTCAGGCTCAATGGATGTAGAAACCTAAAAGAATGAATATAAAGTATTCAAAGCCTATAATGGTTATAAAAAGAAAAAAATTACAAAACTAGTTTTTTAAGAAAAGCATAACATTAGATGAAGGCATTTTGAAATCTTTCCCAATTCTAATATGTACAGATACATTTTCAGAAAGAATTCAGATCTAATTTGTGGTCCTTGTACGTAGGTTACACATAAAATTTGTATTCTTGATTTAATGACATACAGTTTTCTTCCAAAATCATTGACACTTTGAAAGGTGCCTTCAAAAGGTTTGTTATGGTAAGCTTCTTTCAAGTTCATTAAAGGAGTCTTGTTTAATTGTGCCATCAATACTTGTTGATTTTTTAAGAAGTATTTTTCACATGTCATTTTCACATAAAACTTGAAAACAAAAACAAAAAATTTATTCTAATTATTTTTATTTCATAGGCTACCAATTTTTTTCTGCAAATGAAAGCTTTCAAGAACACGGCTGAAAGAATTTGAGTATCTGCAAGATACTCTGTGCAGATTGGCAGCATCTGTCATCATTATACTGTGACCTCCTCCATGCATTGTATCAACCTTCTTAGGATGCTAATATACACTTGAAAGAGCTCAAAATATGTTGACCAAAATGTTGGCTACACTTCTTCGATCACAGTGTCTCCAGGACACCCAAGACTGAACTTTTATATTTTCTGTTTCACACACTTTTGCACAATCAAATCAAATCCATTGTAACGTCTATTCCCAGCTTCCGATTGCAAATAAATTAGTACAATTTAGATCACTAATGAACAATTTAGTAGCTCATATGCCCAAGTGAAGGCTCCAAGCTCCTTTGGGCAGCTACATAGCCCACAAGTTGTCCTTGTCTCAAAGGAAAGTTCAACAGAAATAAAAATAGGAAAGCATTACAAGTCATGATAACAAATTAGTTCTCAAATTTTCTGATTTAGACATCTTCAATAATATCAAACTCTACATTTAAAATTTGTATGAACTTGAGATATTGACATTACTAATTTTCAATGTGAGCAAAGATTAAAAGAAATCTATGCAGCCACAGGCCATGTGAGAAGTGCCATTGATTTTGTTAGATATCCAGGAACTCGGGAAAAATCCTTAATTATCTTTATTACTAATTTCCAATGCACATAGACATTGAATGAAAACAATGCATCTTCTGTCTTTTTCAGAGGCAACTATGGTTACATTTTTTGTTACATACCCAGAAACTCAGAAAAAGTGCTAAGACATCTACTTATATCCAATGCACAAAGAAACTGAAAGAAGACTACAGTCTCTGACCATGTAAGAGGTGACTAGGGTTTCATTAGATTTACAAAAATTTAGGAAAAATACAAAAAGAATAAAACAGTTTTGGTTTTGATTGAAAAATTGCGAATATTTCGTTGTGATATTCTGCCTATTCTCATCCAGTGTGAACCAACGGAATGCTCATACTTGGGTATCACTGCTAATGACAGTTGAAAATCAACAGCAAAGCTCTAAGGCAGAAGCTAGTAGCCATTAAATATTTACTATTCACATTTTACATTATGGAACAACAATTTTTTTGGTATTTTCATTGTGTAAAGAACTGTCGTACTGTGTATTTGTGTTTACCATACTATAATATGGTGGTATTATATTAAGGCTGTGTTTGTGAAAAATTGATACTTGTTAAACATTTAATTTATTGAAGTAGGGAATATTTATTGTTTCGAGAGTATTTTATTTGTTGTTCATAAGCAGGATGCAGGCTACTTTTTGGAAAAACAATTTGTTTGGTTTTTTCAGCAATGTTTTTGTGGCGGTAGGCTACTAGTACGATGCATAAATCTCAGCAACGTGAATAACTCAGATGATAAAAAGTATTTTATGTTTAATAAACAAAATGTTAAAAATGGACATTTAGAATGACATTAACGCACAGAAACACTTGTTAAAAGATGATGTGATATACCTGGAAGCTGTTACTATGTTGGTCTGAAGCAGAATTTACTTCAGATATTTTGTGGCCATTTGTATTGTTATGATTGCCGTCAGCCAAAGTATTAAGTGATGAACTGGAGCTTGTTCTGGAAGCTTGATTCAGAGAATTACTACTACTTGATGTTTCATTTGAAGCCTCTTTCTTTCGATATTGTTGCAGTTCACGTGTAAGCTCCTTAACAAAAAATATTAACATTGGACACATTGATATGTATTCTTTATCAGAACAATGACTTACTCAAAAAATGAATAGAATAAGAAATGAACAAGAATAATGATCATTAATTTATCCAGAGTAAGACTTTCTACCTTGATAAATCCTAGTTGTGGATCACAAATACATATACATTGTAATGTAATAGTTTTAAAAGAGTAAAAACAAAAGTCACTTGTGAGAGAGGAAACAACTCATTTCGGGTTCCGAAGACAAATCTAATAAACATTAAATGTCATTCCTAAAAATATTGTCAGTTAAAAGGAGTGGTCATTTGCAGACAACAATAATGTAACATGTAAGCTTACCTTTATTCTTGTTGCATCCTTTCGACGTATCACTTCAATTTCTCCTTGCAGGTCTTCCACTTGTCTGGCCAAATTTTCAGCGTGATTGGTTCGCTCAGCCAAATGTCGAGCCAAAAGTGAGCTTTCTTCCAATCGTTGTTGCTGCTCTTTCTGCAATTCCTCTTTTAGAAATACTACTTCTGCTTCTAACTCATTTTGCCGACGTTGCAATGGACCTTGTTCATATTCTAATTGCTGTGCCTGCAAGTCAAGATATGTCAATTTACTTTCATATACTATCAAATCATTAGAACATTCTTCTTGAGAAATAACCTCAAAAAATACAATACATTTTGTGTCCTTGAAAGAATAATACTGTGAAAATTATTTAATGAACATATAATACACGAGTGTAACAACAATCACATTTTTTTCCCACCAAAAAACAAAAAAATACTCACATATTTTCAAGAAACATTTTATTAAAATTTTTTATTAACTGAAAACAGCAAAGTGTGAGCGAAGTTATATTAAGAGACTTAAATGAATTCTTTATATCACTCCTTTCTAACACGAAAGGAAAGTTAGTTTAAAAATGTATCTTCACAATTATCAAAACATATTTCAATACAATAATAATAGTTTTGCTAAAATTTACCTTTGCTTCAGTAGCCGAGAATTCCGATTGCAAGCGAACATTCTTTTCTGTTAATTTTTGAGTAAAATCTAAAAGCTCAGCCTCCCTTTCACGGCACATAGCCATTTCTTGTAGAAGTTCTTCATTGCTATTTCGCAGTCGTTCAACTTCTGCTTGGCTAGCCACAACCTTTTCTTGTCCACTAATTTTACACAAAATATAACAATAAGAATAATTTCATTTTCAAGGAAAACAAAATACTGTACAAGGTCAAATTACATACTGCTGTAATTGCATTTTCAGAGCTTCCATTTCTGTAACTTGGTTTTGTAAATCAACAATATCCTGGTGCTGTTTGTCTGTCGATCTTTTGTACTTGGAAACATTCTGTTCATATTCCAGTCTTTCTTTCTCTAAATTCTGGACCTGAATAAGATAATAAACAAAGATAAACAGTGACTCACAGGGTCATGGGCCTCCAGTCTACCTCTCTGAAACCAATACCACATATTCACATAGCTTTCAAATACTACTTTTACTAATATTCAATAGAAACAAGTAATTCAATATCTCAATTAAATTCATTATAAATAACTATAAAATAATAACATTAAAGAGTCAGCCACTGTTAATATGATATTGCAGAAAAATGGAAGTAATCTGATAAACTTCAGGAATTATTACTTGGGTACCTACAAAATTAATCACAAGCAAATGATACGAACTATATTCTATTGTTATTGATCACATAACAATAGAAAATACTAATGAGAAAAAATCCAAATTGTTACAATACTAAGTAGAAAAAATCCAAAACAGAATCAGCCTTTTATCTTATTTTTTTAAAGTTAAAAACTTGTTTACAGTGATTAGAAACTTTTGCTGTTACTTTGCTATATTTGAAAATAGGATAATTTTGAAAAGAACTTAATACTTTACTTAAAGAGGTTAATAATAATTTAATACTGGATTCAGGAAGAATTCATCTACCTTTCTGCATTAAAATATTGCAAAGATATTGATCATGCCATAACAAATATTGCCTCAAGTTGGTGGGGCTAACATGACATGTGCATGGGGGCTATTTTTATTCACTAGAAATTAACATTCTGCCAATAAGAAAGTAATATTTTTTTAAATATTTTACTCTTTTAACATTACATCATATATGTGGGAATCTATAAAGCAACTACTTGTAACTTATTTATGTTTTGTACATTAAGTTTTCTAAGAAATAAAAAGGCATAAAAATTGTCTGAAACGTTTCATCTTTAATGTTTATCTCAGATTACAGAAAAAATATAAGAACGAGAAAGTCAACGTACAGCTTCTGATTTTTCATTGGAATCACAAGGAGCCAGGCTTGCAATGGAAATTGACACTCTCCCCCAACTCCAGACATTCAGCTTCCCAGTTTCCTTCCCGCTACTATCTCTCCTTGCACTTTGGGGATATTACTATTAGAGAGAGAGAACGAAAGAAGGAAAAGAGAGAGGGGGGAGGGAGAGAGGAAAGAGAGAGAGAAAGAAAAAGAAAAGAAAAAAGAGCTCAAGAAAATAACAGAGTAGGTCAGACCCATAAGCAGCAATCATTACTAGTGAAGAATAGATTGAAATTAAAAGAAAGAAGAAACTAGCTGTCAAAAGAAAAGACAAAGAACGCAAAAAGAGATGAAGAAAAGAAGCAAGCAAAAGGAAGAGAAAAAAGAAATCTCAAAAGGGAGTTAGGCAAAGGAAAATTGTTCCATTACATAATGGTGATTTGGACAGTGGAGATATTATACCCTTAGAAGAAAGCAATGATGATACTGACATAGAAGATTAGTTAAGAGAAGTTGAGAGGGAAGAATAGACAGTCATAAAATTGTATGTGCTGATTGGAACCCAGAACACCGTGAAACCTGCAAACATGTTGAACGTCAAGAATTTGGTTGTAACAGAATTTCATACAAAGACGATTTTGCACTACGTTTGTCACATCACAAATATTGAAGATAGTAAACGGCTGGCAAAATTTATAAGGTTCAAAGACAATCATGAAAACCTTTTTTTCCTTGAAAGGAGCCAGAAGATGTTTCACTTGAAAGAAAACATGTTATGGAATATAGTAATGGAATCTAAACTTGGTAATGGAATCTAAAGCCATCTTTTTGAATTTTCACAATGAAAAGAAACAATGCCTTCAGACACAGCAAAAGACAAAAAAATGAAAAAAATACTTTTGAGACATACACCCTAGGTCCACTTCTTGCTTCCACATCAAAACCCATTGAGATATCAAACTGTAATATTTTAGCCTCAGAAGTGTATCAAATAGCCTTATCAGATGGGGCTACTTTGATACATATTCAGTATTTTCTTCATGTGTTTGCTTTAAAACTATAGAAAATATAATGAAATGTTTGCACTTCATTATTCGTATTACATTTCCCCCAATTGACCCAACCAATTAAATTCATACATGTAAATTCTTTATAAGAAATCATCAGGTTGGCTGGTCACTGAACTCCCCCTAGAGAAATCTTGATTGCACCACAGACAAGATGTCAAATTCTAAATATAACCTAAACCTGATGGGATGTAAGAAATGGAAAAAAATGATTTTCCTTCAATTTACCTTCACAGAAAGAATATTGTTTTCTTCTATAATCACATGATTCTTTTTTTTCAAATTGTCTACTTCCTGCAGAAGTTGTTTATAAGTTTCCTCCTTTCCTTCTCTTTCATGACGCTCCATTATCAATTTAGCTTGCTGTTCTTTCAACTGTAATGCTGCAAATTCAAGAAAAATCAATTATATCGTATATTAAATATTATCCATTACTGATATTTCACTCACAACATTACAAAACTACAATAATAGCACTGTACCTAAAGTGTAAGCTTTGTTGTCCTCTGATTCCTGGAAGGCTCGCATTGTCTCTTGACAATCATGACGAACTTGTTCAGTTTCTTCACGACATTCTTGCAATTTCTGAACTAGTTTCTCTACTTTTCGTTGGGTTTCCTAAATCGTGAATGAAGTAAATAAATTAACCGTAAAAATATGCTCTTACGTTTGATATTTTGCCACATAATAAATATTTCTCTGTAAATAATACCTATTCACATTCAAATAAAATTCTCTAACGTGACCCAAAATCAAAATATAATACAAACGTCAAAAATGTATTTAATATATTTAATATATTAAATGTATATAATATCTATGAAAACTAAACACTTTTAGTTTTCTTAGCAATTTTAAGACAATTGTAGGACAGGAGAACTTGGCCCCTCAGACAAACATAAAGAACAAAAAAATGTTATTCATTTCAGTTGCATTGAGGTTTTACACAATCTTTAAATGTTTATTCATCACCACCTTCTCGACATACATAAGGTTGTGGGTCTGTATGATATTTTAAAGCAGTTAAATATTTTATAATCAGTAGATCTTCCATTATGCACAAAATTTAATTGCCTGGTAATCTAAAAATCAAGGGGCTGCTTTACAATAAAAATGACTAAAATAATGAATGGAGATTTTGAGGTATCTGCAAATGCACAATTTTGAGCTCATTTTCACACAAAACCTATGTTTCTAAGAAACTTCACCAGAAAACATATGATGCACTTTTATTCACAAATGCAATTATGTATAAAAAGACACACTTAATGAAAATATCAATGACAAGAGATGTATACAAAAATTACATTTGTATAATTATAACTTAACAAAAAATACATTCGTGCAATAAAAAAATATAGAAATGGTGTTTACATAATATTAATTATTGGATTTATCACTATTTGCACACAAAGATTAGAGAACAATTTGGAGCCGTTTTTGAGAATATCTTGTAATTAAAATGGCCCAGATTTCTTTAAAAATTGTGCAAAATCCTCCGATGGTTTTAAAAAGTGTACATTAATGAAAGAACTAATTCTGAAAAACATCATTTTAATATATAGAATCCCTACGATCTGAAGTTCGGCACTCATGGCATAGACTGAAGTCACTTGCATTTCACGAGAGAGGTCCGATTACGATTCCCAAATAATATCATGTGAATATATTATAGAAATTTTATCAAAATTTGATCCAACAAAATGAGTTTGCCTGCTTCACAGGGACTAGTTCAACCCTTCTGAAGAGTCCTAAACCCTACCCGTCCTAATTCCTTCCTCCTGATTAGTGATGCAGGAGCGTGTGCAGTAAAAGGCAGAGATGCTGCCTGGTGATCCTCTTGACGACTGACTGACGATACATATAATGAATGTTACTGGAGGATTACTCCCAAAGCACTCAGTGCTTGAGAAGGAGCTTAGAGACATGTTGCATTGATAAATAGACTAAAGATTAAGACATAAATTAAAAAGTCTCCAAAACTGCCTGTAGATGAAAGCAAAGGCTTTTACAGCCAGAGTTAGTAACAACTTGGCTGACTGGGAGACACTGAGTTCTACGCACAGGAGTCAATGTTTCGGCTACCATTCTGCGACCTTCTGAATTTTCACCCTGAGGAAGGTCACAGAATGGTGGAGGAAGCAAGAGGGTGTAGATGTACTTTTGAAATGAGTGGGAAAACTGTCAAGATTGGCCATAACCTACTTTGAATATAATCTTAATGTTTTCATAATTTTACATTAATTAGAGTTCAATGTTTTGGAGCCATTTTCTAAGTACACCTTCCTCTCCCATGATATGCTGGATAGCGCCAATTCTACAGGGGTATGTCTATTTCTTTTTGAGATATTTGGCGTAGTTCTTTCAATCATCACTGCAAATGATAAAAAACTACCAAAAAAAATTGTCTTTTAAAATATTTACATTTAGCATTAATACCCATTTCAATAGTACCATAATGAAAGATCTATATGACAATATTGAACAAATATTAGAAAGATTTAAAATGTGAGATACCACTAAGCAATTTAAAAATTGATCTTTTCCTATGATCAAAAAAATTTGAATAACAAGTAATGAATAATTTTTATTTTATTGATTAATTTTTTTTTACCTTATGTGTCTCTGTTTCTGTCTTCAGTTTATTCTGTACCCATTTTAATTTAATTTCAAGAGAATTCAAATCATCTTTCATTTTTTCATTCTCCTTTTGCACAGATGTAAGCTCATGACACTAAAATATCAAAATCATATAAATTTGCATTAATAAGTCAATAGGTCTGTAAGAGGAAAAGGAAAAAAATACAAGGAAGAGCTAACCTTGTTATCTAACATTTGACATATTCTCGCCTTTTCTCCTGCAGCACTTTTCATTTTACCCACCAGAATTTCTCTTTCTTTGACAGATTCTTTTAATTTCTTTTCTAAGCCCTCTTTTGCTTTTTGAAGATCCATAACTTTTTTTTCACTAACTACATAGCTCATTACCATTGAATCCTTGTCAGCATTTACAGAATCATAATCTTTAGTCAACTGTAAAAGAATGAGTATTATCAATTGTTTTAATATACCTCAGAACATACAGGATATCATAAAATTTCAAACATTCACTTTGCAGAAGAAACAGTGATATGAATTCAACTAATACTTAATACTCATTTCAAATGTTATTAAAAAATACACACATACCTTTTGCAGTTTTCCTTCCAGATCTTTTTTCATTTGATTGTAGCTTTTCGTAGCAATTTCTGCTTGTTGTCGACTTTCAAGAGTAATTTTTTGTATCTCATTCTGCTGTTGTGCTATAGTTTTTTCCAGAGTTTCAAGCTGGACTACATAAATTTCATGGGATCTATCTGCTTCTAACCGCTGATTCTCACATTCAAGCCTTAATTTAATAACATGAAAATTAATCAAAAAGAAATAGAAACTAACAAGAGAAGATGAGAAGAGAAAAAATGTTCATTTTCAATGAAACAATCGGCAACAACATTTCAATGATGTGAACAATCCATGTCATTGCGCATATGTCTTGTTCACATATTTTGAACTACCGAAAAAGCAAGACTTTCATTTAAATTGCAAAATTGTTCAACTTGAATTTGATATTCTTCGCACACAGTTTTAAATAATACCTATATTTTTAACATTTTACATTTTAAGGAAATTCATAACTAACAGGTGAAAAATAAAATGATATTATTTCATTCTACTTGGAAAATTATGAATAATTAAGAAAAATAACGATTACAAGAGCAGTTATTTCAGAAAGATATAGGCAAAAAAACTACATTACCTGGTTATTTCATTCTGAAGTTCTTTCACTTGTTCTTTAAAGTGTGTTATTTCTTGAATTAGAGTTTTATAAGCAGGATGGTGTAATATTGAATCAGAAAAACCATTTGGAGTTGTTCGAGAATGCAAATTTTCTAATTCTGGACTTGTGTTCTCCCGTAATGCTGACGAATCCATCTTCAGTACTGAACCAGAATTGGATTGTGAACCAAGAGTTACATTATCATCTTGGCTGATAAGGGCTTTGGCAAACAATGTATTGTTTTCTTGTTGTGGATTTCCACTTTCCTCCTCCATACTGTCTTCAAGAAGATCATCTTTGTCCCTTTCTTGCTCCTTTTTCTTTGCATTATATGTTTCTGCTTCAGTGTCTGTGAGAGATAAATTAGAGATTTCTGATACATTGCTATTGCTGCTACATTCAGATTTGCAGTCATCATAAGTATCAACGCATCTTTTAATGTCTGGGCTATTCTCAGCTGCTATTTCATGACAAGAACTTGCACTGGCAGCATCTTCCAACACAGTGGGTGCATCAGATTGAGAAAAGACACCCTCTGAATCAGATGCTGACATTTTCTTTTAAAATTATTCATTCGCTTAATATATGTTATGTTTCATTACATGGCACTATTCTCATTCAAATAATATACATCTAAACAACACAAACACTTGAACATATTGTACTAACACTCCTAAACAAAGGCCTATCAAATAATTTCTGATGATCGTTCACAACTACTTTAAGCATAATGACTGCTTTCAGACGTTGCATACACAAAAATATCCATGCACAAATAACGTACGTAAACAATAAGCCAAGAATTCAAATGACATTTGCCATAACCTCACGTAACGGTCCCAGGCACTGTTCACCCAAATCGTAAGTTTGTGTTACGAAAATTTAATCTTGAAATGTAAGAAAAATATAAGGCTATTATAATGTTACATCTTAGCTACAAGCAATTATTACTAAAACGCAGATGACGTTCATCTGACAAAACAAAACGCCATATTGTTTTCGAGGTTTTGGAACTCTCCAGCAGCTTTCAGCCATTCTCGGCAACATTGATCCTTCAGATCAACCCCGAGGTTCCAGTTGTACCACATCATCGACATTTTATAATGAATGGTTCATGTTGATGTCGCACATGCTGGGTTTATACTTCATAGTGATATTGCGATAATTTTTACTCTGTAGGAGTGTGTAAAAAAATCTATAGAATGTGAGTTAATTTAATAATTTCGGTGAGACATTAGCTCGGAGAGACTTTCGATTATGATTATAATGTGGAAAATCGTTCAGTTGCTCCCAACCTTAAATGGCAATATTTTATTTGTTGGATTAATTTTACTAAGCCACTTCTTCTTCCCGATTGTTACGGTCGTAGGTATGTTTCTGTATTGTTCTTCAGAAATTGTGTTGGTGCTCAATTTCTTTGTGTTGTTGCTCAAACATATTAATTATAAATTAAATAATACTTGTTTGTATCTCAGTTACTACAGTGCATACTTACACAATCACAGACAGTGTGGAATTCATGGACTCAGATATTTATTTTGAAATAATTGAACCAGAAGAATTAAGTTACACTTATAAAATAAGACCTGCCAAAGATTTTGGGATACCACTGGTAAGGTGCATTTTACATTGTAACATAAAGCAGAACTTTATTGCACAAGTGATATTATGTTCTTATTATTTTGTTGTCAGAATGAGTCATTTGCGGGAGTAGAAATACCACTAGTACCTGTTGACCCACCATGTGGATGTGGATGGCCACGGAATGCTGAAGATTTAGAAGGAAGTGTGGCGTTAGTAGAGAGAGGGTATGTGAAATGGCTATGTAACTCCAAAGAATAGTGTTCATTGTATGTGTGTTACAGAAACGTGGCTTATATTTCCCTGAATATTATACCCTCGTTTGTTTGGGAAAATGGATAATTGGGGATGGGTTCTGAGTTATGGGAAAATGTGACTGTTTGTGATTAATATCATTATTGTTCTTTGATTTTTCTGTAGAGAATGCTCTTTCCTAAGTAAAACTGTTCGAGCTGAAGAGGTGGGAGCGAGAGCCGTAATAGTTGCAGATCATGATGAAAATGCAGATGAATATTATATTGAAATGATAGATGATAAAACATATCGAGATGTTCATATACCTGCTGGATTTTTATTGGGAAAGAATGGGTATGTTACTCTTGCGTAAATTTTGTGCATGAAAGAAATTGCATACCTATTTACTTTTCCTGATACCATACCAATCTGTATTATGATGTTGAAGTTTATTCTTGTTGTTTTTTTCTAGGCACATGATACGGAAAACTTTAAAAAGATTGAAAATGAAATTTGCTATTATCAACATACCTGTGAATTTAACTTATGTACCAATCCATAAAATGAACCAACCTCCATGGTTGGGTTGGTAGCTAAATAGGATCAACAAATGTAACGCAAATAAATGCTAGTCACTTTGAAGAACTAGTAAATCATGTCAGTACATTGAAACTAGGAATGCTCAACCTAAGTAATGCTGCAATTGATTTAAAAGTTACTTGAAAAATATTAGTAGAAGAGATGTCATTCCTTTGGGCAGAAGTAGCTTCTGTTATTTAATGAGTTTAAAGAATGAGAAAACCAACTTATTACAAAATACTTTATTTTTGAATGAAAATAAAATTGTCCTTTTCTTTTATTCTTCTAATATTTGTAAAGCTAAGAGACATATTGACAAGTGAGAAACAGAAGAAAGTGCCTGCAAAAAGTATTAGACTGTAGTGGATTAAAGTTACAATATTAACATCTTTTCTCAATTCAAAAAGCCTTAAAAATGAAGGCTGTCTGTCATAGCCTCTGCAAGTTACAAACTTTTCAATTGAGTTTTGTTAGGTTGAGCATCTCCGTTAAAGACAAATGTACAAGAAAAGGCTGCCTGCTTATGATTACTTTTGTTTCTCAATACAATTTTGTTTGTGTATTTCATAATTAATCATGTGTTCTGACAATTTTTTACCCATCTCAGTAAGAGAAAGTAGAAAATATGATATTATTAAAGTGTGTATGGAAATTCAGACAGATGAAAAGACCTTGTATATGTAAAGTTAGTTACGGCAGTCTCAGATAATAACAGCACATAGTGTTGGTGAATTTTTATGTTCCTGATGTTTTGTAATTTTTTGTTTAATACTGGTATGTTTTGTTATATTTTTAATTTTGGGGGTTTATAATTATATTTTCAAAATACCATTTTGTGTTTGTCGGGCATTATCTTTATTCTGAATAAAGGTTGAAGTGTGTTAATAGAAAATGCCTTTTACATTCTCATAACTTAACTATGTTCATGTTTTGATTTCCTAACTCGAGGGCCAAGGGCACTTATCCTGAGAATAGTTTTACCTTTTTGACCACCTACTGTCAAGTCTATCTCATGCTCCGAGTAAGAAATTTCAACCTTAAGGAAGAGCTTAATTTATTGGTGAATGGATTGTTTGAAGTAGAATCTGTTGTGGTACAGGTCAAAGTATCTTTCTTATTTGTTTGTTTTGGAGGTCTTTCATATTATATTACCAGATCTGTGCAGAGTATACTGCAAGTACCTCGACTTTCCCCTGGTATTTGCTCAGAGGTTGCAGAACAAAAGTTTACAAAATGTTCTGAAGAACCTTTCTTTTTAATGAGTTATGTAACTTATAGTAGAGTTGTATATTTACACATGTTTTGTACTTTATTCTTGACATTGTAATACAAATGTAAGGGCCTTGAAAGCAAAGCGAGAAATGTCTGCATGTGGGCTTTGACTCAGTTGATTCAGAGTTTGGCAGTGTTTCAATGATGCTGTGTTGGATGCATTTCCTTCAACATTGCCAGGCACACCTGAGTCATCAAATTGGCTATTATGACATGATTTTTCTGTCACCTAAAAACTGTAGAACCATTATTCCAATACTTGATCAAATTTTAAATTGATGAAGTACATTTTCATTTCGAAATTGTTTTCTTTCTCAACAATTAATCCAAACACAGAATTAATTTAGACTCCTATTTTTCCTGTATTTTGAAAATTTCAAATTAAAGAAGAAGGTGTAATGTTGGCCAATCCTATAATGGCAATTTTTTAGATTAAAATGCAAACATTTATCCTTTTTAAAATAAAATTTACAATAAGACTGTTTTTCACGATTTATTTATTATTACACATTAAGACCACTACCTACAATAGATCCAATTGGTGTTCTCTAATGTGGTAATTACAGGGACAATCCCTAAACATAAAAACAATTGGTGCTATTACAGCACGTTTTTGTATTATTGGCATTATTAATATTATTTTACAATTATGATTAGGTATTATTGTTATTTATTATTGCGATATTGATTCATTTTTTTATTTTGAACAGATTTAATTTATAAAACAATTTTTTGCTCTAGGACAATTTTTCGCTTTTACAATTTTTAGACTTCAATGAAAATCGGATGTATCCCATTTTGAAAATTGTATTTTCCTCTATTGGGGCAATAAAGTTAGACGAATCTGGAGACATATTTGAGAAATGTCCTGTAATGTACCCCCATGCAATTAAAATATCAGCTTCAATTCCAAAGAGCCGCAACGTCAACCTGGTTCATCCAATTTTGAAGAAAATATTAGGAATGGGATCTGTTTAGGCGCTAGTGTTGTTCATGGATGGGCAGATATGTTTTAAAAAAAAATCACCCTACTTTTCATATATCAAGTACCCCCACAACGTGTATTTCCGTCCAAATCTCGACATCGATTTGTTTTTGCAGCATTACCTGCTATTTTTTTATGTATACGGGAAGGTAAAACTTCAAGAAAAATTAAGAATATTTTTCCTCTGCAGTCATACAACGTTGGCCCATTTTCATCTTACACACCTCTTACTTCCGACCCTCGCCTGAGCAATTATGATGCCCGAAAATCTATAGATGCGTCACTATCGGAAAGAAATATTCGAGTCTTCATTCTCACCGTCCAGTCAAATCGCCGCGACGCAAGCACACAGTGGCCGTGGCTGCAAGAACCGATAATTCGTGCAGCTACGCCTATAATTGAAGTTCTCTCTATTTTTCAATTATGTTTGTAAACTATGCACTTTGTATTACTACGCATTCAACTTTTTACTATTAGATTTGCCGCTGAGTGAAAACATAACTTGCCTAACGTAACAAAACAAAACATCCAGCTGGCGCTGTATGTGAAATCAGAAATGCCGTTCACATAAGTGTTTTGTGTGTGTGTGTATTAAAAAATATCGAAATAATAGGGAACTTCAAAAGTGTTTTTCACATGTTATGCTTAATTTTCGTTTAATGGGACTATAATATCGTAAACTGCTTATGTGTACTACTGAGAATCTATGATGCATCGCATAAGTACTTTCATGTAGAAGGAAAGCACGTTTTATGCAATTAATTCTGGAAAAAATAAATATTACACATTACTGTTAGTGAAACAGTTATCCTTGATCATCACTAAAGGATCCAAGGTTAGAGGGAAAAAAATTTAAATACAAGCGGGAAAAAAAGCGAGTCTCACGCATTTATCATACGATTTATAAGGTAATAATTTCAGCTCCATGACTGCCCGATTAGTACAAACACTTTTAAACGCATTCCAAGCTGATTTTTAACAATCGCTCAAGAATTCTTCAAAATTGGGATCCTTATGTAACTTATAGATCTGACGTCCAATAAAAACCCTTTCTTTTACTTTCGTATCACTCAATGCATGAAATTTCATTCGTAAATATTGCAAGCCTTCACCTCCTTTGTCATTACCTTTACGAAGTTTTTCATGAATCCTAATTTTATGCGCAGCGAAGTTATTAACATACTTTTTTGTTATTTACGTCAGTAAACCCGCGCGTAACTCCTTAGCAACCAACCATGTGATCAACGCTTTAAGAGCGCGTCCATAGCAACGACCGCCAAAATGCTCGAGAGAATATTAAAAATATTTTAGCGGACTCTCGGGTTTAGATTTTATCAGTACTCATAAATCTTTGGATAAATATGTCCCTTTATTCTCCCCCAACCCATTGTCCTTTTTGTCCCATTTCATCCCTTTTGTCTCCATGTCCCATTAGTCCTACTTGCCCCTTGTCCCATTGTGTGCCGTCCGCATTGTCGCGTTTCGTTCCCTTGTCCCACTTAGTACCTTTGTCTTGTTTGTACCATTTTTCCACTTGTCCCTCGTTACCTTTTGTCCCCTTGTATCATTTTGTCTGATTGACCCATTTTGTTTCATTTGTCTCATCCCCTTTGTCTAATTTGTCCCCCTTTAGCCATTTTGTCACTTTCTGAGCCTTTTTCAATTTTGTCTCCAGGTCTAAAAGCGAAGATTTTGACTCCAGCTCACAGACCTCGTCCCTCTGCAATTCCCGCTCTAACTATCACATATTCCGCAAATGTGATTCTTTCTTTATGCCAATGGCATAGTTGTCCTAGCGACAGAAATAAAACTTCGATTACTAACTTAAGATACTTCAAAAGCAGAATGAATTTGACAGTGAAATGGGCGGAACAAACCCGACTTTCAAAGCGGAAGAGTGTCAGGCAGTTACATTAGCCGTAAACACAAACAGATGATACGACGCTATCCACGCCGTTCAAACAAACAACAGATCTGTTCAAAATATTACTCACAACAAAGTCTTTAGAAATACTGATTTTATGATGAAACAGCAGACACCTAGAGAACTGAAAATAAGTATTAACCAGCCACATTCCTTCTTACAACAATACTTTTTTGATTGAACATTAGATAGGACTATTGATTACCTGCAAATTGCTTCTGTATGCGAATGTGCTGGTGTTTTGTGTATGTCAACACTCATTTTGTGACGTTGAGACGTGTCTTTTAAATAGTGATACATTCACTTTGCATGTTGTGATACATAAGTCAAATGTTTGATAACGTGAGGACTTATTGTAATTACGTAATATTAAAGGATTATATGCTAACAGTGCGAAGGAGGAAGGAACTTTCCTCTCGTAAAGTTACAGTTGAAAAAACTCTTCGCGAAGAAGGTATTATGTACACACACAGGCATATTGCTAAGAGACTCGCAATAAGTCAAAAACCCGTGAGTAGTCAGTAACGCAATGAGAGAAAACGAAATATATCAACAAAAGAGAATAGGAAAATAATGGAGAAAACCAACGCTACATCCTCGAGGCTTCAGAAAACTAAAAGTTCAGCACTAGAGAACAGAAAAGATATTTTTTAAAGAAAATTGTTGAATATGGAGTACGTGGAAAGGGCCCCAGGAAGTGTTAGAGAAGTGGAAGTGGATGAATGCCCGTGGAATACCCCAGGAAGTGTGAGAAGAATTATCTGTGGAAAGGACATAGAAGGATATCTGAAAGATTCATGAAGGATAAGCTATAAAAAAGAACATTTCAACCAACCATCACTTGATTGAGGAAATCAAGTCATCATTGCACACTAGGATTGGTTTGGATTTCAAGTGAATGAAACTTGTGGAAAGCATGCCACGATTGAACTATTCGATAAAAAAAAAATTAAAAATTCCACACTAAATACTATTTTTTGTGACTATTTTTGAAAAACAAATTCGTTCATACTTTGTTATATTACACCTATTTTATTCAAATCAATGTTTTATTGGTTGAATTTTAGAAATTTACGCTTGAATCATTGCAAATGTAAGACAACTCTTTATAATTAATTTGGTGTAGGTACATACACAGCCTCGGTATATTGTTAATTAAATAAAATTCCTCGGAAATTGAATACTGAATCTAATAATTTGAACAGATCTTTTCACTAGGCGCTCAAAAACTGGGCATCCTACCTGAACTTTCCTCTTGATCGCAGAGTGCGTTGATACATACATGGCAGAAGAATGCGATTGAAACTTCAGCAAAGATTGCAATTACTTCATCTATTGGGGGAACCTTCACATCTCTTGCATCTTAGTCTCGTACTCGATAAAACGTGCTGCCGTCCTACGGTCCTAAGCAGCGGCGACATGGAGGACCACAGTGAGGAAGTACGAATACAAGGATACACTTGAGCACGAGCACAACAGGGAGCGCTCTCCGATTAGGAAACGGTCGAAAGAACTCAGAAAGGAACTCGCCATCGATTCTCACACTCATTTCCTGAGACGCTTATCTTCCAATGACGCTTATCAAGTCTTTCAAACCCGGAAAGCTCCAGCGACGTTAAAATATTTTTCCGTTATTTCCGTACAACATGATCCACAACCCAAGCTCTCCCTTGTCTATTGCAATTCCATTGATCATTGCGTTTTCACATAAATTAAACTTAGAGACATTGTCACTAACTTGTCAACAATCAAGTGATACTCGCAATCAGGATGAGAAATTTTAGCCTTTTCGATTCAATTATCACGCGGAACAAACATTGTTTGGTACCTGTTACAAAATTATAAAATGCGCCGAGATAAGCTTTCAGATTTTCAGGTTTCTCGCCACGCGTAGTAGTTGATTTGATTCATAGCTAAAAAAAACACAGTAAAAACTGTAAGTGACTTATGAGGGAAAAGTAACATATGTGCACGTTTTCGTAGTTGTTGAGAATATTTGGAAATTTATTCTCGAGATTCGGTAAAATGAAAATATTTCTGTCACGTTGCAATCTCTAGTTTTGGCTGAAAACAGTTCGTAATCCTAGAACGAAAGTTTGTTGTTGCATTGCATTATGAAACACCATAAAATTGTTCTCTATTAGGAAGAGGCTTTTGTCCGCACTTTGACACAAGACCTTCCACGCAATGTATACGCAAAATCCAGCCTGATATATGGGTGGCCGGTCAAATCACATTACCCTCTCGATAGTCCACGCAAATAAGATTCTTGGTACGAACAAATTCTAATTGCGATTACACTTCGTAATCTCGTTTTGGCGTAATTCTCCGATCGAAATTCATGTTTCCGATCGAAAAAAAGTTTCAAAACATTTTTGGCGAATATCTCTCTTCCTACGTTGTTAAAAGCTTTTATAAATATTAACTTTATTGAACATAAAATTGTCCACAAAATATATTATTTTTATGATT